GCCTGTGGGCTCCTGCCTGTGGGCTCCTGCCTGTGGGCTCCTGCCTGCAGTGCGTACGACTGCCTGGTTAGCTCAGCACCCCCCACCACCACTCACTCGCTCAGTCTGGCTTCAGTCTCATTCTCCATTGCCACTGCCTTCAGGTGCTTCAATTCTCAGTTGTCCTTCTAAGGACAATGTGAAGCCTTTTTTTATGAAAGTAAATTGGGCTGTCTTTTCGACATTTTGATCGCTGTTATTTTGAAAAATTAGTGCTGTTATTTTGATACGTGATTAATGTGAATAATATACATCAAACATTTCTACCGTATTTTTAATAAATAATCAAAATTTTATTAATGACCCACTTAAGCTGTCAAACTGATTTGCAAATTTTTTTGTGCTGTTTAATTATATTTTTGAGTTTTTAACAAAAATGTGCAATGACTGGACTTTTTGGGACAGAGATTTTTTTAAGGGTAGAAGCGAAAATGCTTCATTTGAAGACGCAGCTCGTATGTGATTTTAAGAAGCTCATAAGTGGATCTTGTGTTTAAAATTAGTGTTTATGTAACTATTTTCAGTTACGTATCCAGTTTAAATTTTATTCGTTCAAGGCAGTCACATTTGTTCATAACTGTATTATTAGTGAACCTGAGAGTTACCGGATCCAAACAAACAGTTACTAGAACGCACCCTGTCAAATTAAGAGAGTTTCCGGATCTTGTTCCCGCAGGATCCAGCTCAAATTAAGCCCTGAGTGTAGGTCAACGAGACATCCAGCAGACAAGCCAAAAGTGTGCTGCAAAACATAAGCAAGTCTCTTTTTTATATATTTTAAACCATAATCCATGTCCTTCAGGATCACCCGGCTGCTGATTGGGCAGGATGGCTCAGAGTGGAGAGAGAAACTTCCAGAGATTCCTCTGGTGCCTTTGTCGGCTCAGCAGCACCGCAGAGAGGAGCCACCCAGTGCAGAGGTCCTGCAGGCCCGAGCAGAAAAGGCTGCCAGGGATGCAGGTTGGTTTCAATAAGTCTTCCCACCTACCTCACTCAAAAAAGACTTTAGCACATTTTAGTGCTGTAAATATTCAAGTCATGTTTATTTTTAAATTAGTTTTTATTTCCCTAAAGTGCTGAGCGCTGAATGACTCGGCTACAGTTTGTGGAAGGAGCTGAACCTGAATTGGGAAAGTTATAAAAAATGGAAGATGAGCTAAAACAAGCAGAGCAGGAGCTTACATCTAAATGTAGCAGAGCAAGACAAAAGTAGAGCCAATGTGCTGAAGTAGAGTTTGTTGGAGGAAATATAGAAATGTCAATGTCTATACCTACATCTATGTTTCATATTTTCTACTGGGAATTTTATTTTCAGTAAAGTTAAATATTTTGAATAATATGAACTTTACAAACCAAATAGTGCACTGTTCTCCTTTGTTTTCATCCTTGAATGAAGCACAAAGAATGCTGAAGTCGTTAGACTGTAAAAAACACACAGAAGTAACTGACTCGTAAAGACAACTGCGAGATTAAGCTGTTAGTATTTTATGAAGTAATTTTTAACCCTCATAGTTCATATTTTGATGCCTTGGCTCAGGATTTTAATATTAATCCTGCTAATGTGCTCCTTATTGTCGTGGTGTACAGAAACAAATGGTCTTTCTGTTAGTGCATCATTCTTATCCTCAGCAGGACGAGGATATGAAAGTCTTTATTTTTGTGTCACCTCTCTACACTGACTCTGCACTTTGCTGCAGCCATTATTATTAAAGTCTAAAGAAAGAACAGAGCTGCTGGCACTTTTTCTCCCAGAAGCTTCTCTGCAGCAGATCAATTTGCTCGTAGTTCACATAGCGACTGATTGCTGACTGAACTCTGACGCCTCATGTCCTGCCAGCACAGCATTCATCTCAAGAACCCAGACCCTCAAGCTCGTTTAAGGCCGGTCAATTAAAACGTATTGCACATGTCTGTCAGGATTTATGGCCCTCGAGGGAGGGAAGTGGAACTTTTTTCAGCTCGACCAATCAATGTTAAGTAATCACCACTTTGCTTTGTGTTGCAGAGAGGAGAGCAGAAATCCGTTTTTCAGCTTTGAAGCAAGAAGGAAATGATTTTGTAAAGAAGGGCCAATACCAGGATGCTCTGGGGAAGTACTCAGAATGTCTTAAGTTAAAGCCACAGGAGTGTGCCGTCTACACCAACAGGTCAGCCACACCAACTAAACACTCTGTCGAGTTTCTGCTACTTCTAATGGTTTGTTGTTTATGAAGCATGAATATTAGACAACAGCACTGAATAAATAAAGAAATCCACCAGTAGTTGTTTTATTTTATTTTTTTGGCTGCTGCCTTCTGCTGGAGCTGCCAAAGCAAGAAAACGCGTATGAAATATTTAATAATTGTTTTACGCCGGATGCCCTTCCTGACTCAGCCTGGGCTCAAACCTGCAGCTTCAGGATTCAATTCATTTTGTTTATATAGTGCAGAATCACAACAGAAGTTATCTCAGGACACTGAACAGAATCATTCACATACATATAAAATCATTTAATAACGCTATTTATCTAAGGAGCCAACAGACTGCTTTGAGTTTTCACTGCATCACAGTTTACCGTCCTAAGCAAGCACAGAGGCGACAGTGGAAAGGAAAAACTCCCTTTGAACAGGAAGAAACCCCCAGCAGAACCAGGCTCAGGACGAGAAGTCAAATGCTTGGACTGGCTGGGTTTGATTTGAGAGGACAGGGAGTAGAAAACAAACACACAGTGGCAGGTCCAGGATGGAGGTGGCAGGTTTTCTCTAGGAGGAAAGACAAAAAGACAGAAACTACATGTTAAGAAAGAATTATTACAAATATAAACTATTCATTTACAAGACATCAGAACTAACCACTGAACTGCCTCAGCCCCAAGAAACTCATTAGCCTGGATACATTAAAAGACTAAACTGATAAATAGATTTTAAGATCAGTCTTTCTCAGCCGTCACTGTTTGTCATTTATTAAAAAAGACCTAGTCTTAATTGAAGGGTCATGTCACCTGCCTCCTCATGCCACTTTAGACCAAGATTGTTGTTGAAAGTTGCAGCTATTTTATCCAAACATGCATTAGTTTTCAGGCTCATAGTATGTGTTGTGAATGACTCCAAGCTACTACCACATCAAATTTGAGCTCATGACTTGTAAAATGACTGAGTTGTAGCCATTTGTGTGCTGGCTAGTGTTGATTAACAGCAGCAACCATCTTCTTTATCATTTATTTATCAACCTTTATTCAAATCCCACTAAGATCACAGATCTCTTTTGGAAGGGAGGCCTGGGCCACCTTGACCTGAGCTGACTCTAAAGGGTCAACAGGCGTAGATGAACATGTAATAATTACTTTCTGAGAGTTTCATTAGAATCCTTCCAGTGGTTCAAGAGATATTTTGCTAACAGACGGACAAATGAACAGAAAGATGCCTTTTCCTTTTTGGCAGGTGATACATATCAGGTGTTGTTGGACAAAAGCTCTTTTTCTCTGACCCTGCTCTTCTTCATGGTCCCACTAACAGCTCCAACTGTGTGATGACAGCAGGTGGAGGTGATGCTCTTCAGCTCAGACCCCCCCCCCCCCCTCTTTCAGGCAGACTGTTCATAGCACATAAAGGAAGCTAATGGCGAGATGAAAAGTCTCCCATTGTGTGCTGCTGTTTGCTGATGTGTGTGAGAACAGTTTGTACGTTGGTGAGGCCACACCAGAGCAAACACCTGCCGTACCTCAGCTGCTCAGAAAAACATGACGCAACGAATCCTGAAAAAATCTGTCAAAGCAGATCAAGTTGAATGTTTGTCCCTTGTTGGATCAGCTTCATAAACATACTTTATTTTTTGGTACACAAGGGATGTGGGGCTGCACCCTTGATACAAAAGTCCCACCTACACACCCTCCCAGTTCTGTTTGAAGTGAATTTTCATGCATTTAGTCAGGAAGGAAATTTCTCATTTGTTTCCATGGAGGGGTGGTGGTGGTGGTGGTGGTGGTGGTGGTGGGGGCTTATATGTCCTTTGCTGCTTCATCTTCATGCTTTCAAGGTCTCTCTTGCAAATGAGTCCTCAAGGCTCAATGGGATTAACCTGTGTAAATAAAGTTGAATGAGCCTTCCTGCTTCAGGTCGTGTTTCTAGTTCTTTCTAAATCATGTGCTTGCAGAGCTCTGTGCTACTTGAAGCTGGAGATGTTCACCGAGGCCAAGCAGGACTGCGACGCAGCCCTGAACCTGGAGCCGACCAATAAGAAGGCTTTCTACAGACGAGCCCTGGCCAGTAAGGGCCTGAAGGTGAACAGAGCCACACCTAATGTCATTAGTGAGCACGCTGAGAGCACAGCAGGGCTGCCTGCGACATTAAAGGACCGCACATTTTAAAGAGTCTCTCTGGCACATTTTAAACAAGTTTTTCTTTTCCTCCCTTAGGACTACCTGGCCTGCAGCTCAGACCTGCAGGAAGTGCTGCGGTTGGATCCCAACGTGCAGGAGGCAGAGAAGGAGCTGGAGGAGGTGACGGTGCTGCTCAGAGAGAGTCTGGCTCATTCCTCAGAGGCCAAACCCAGGAGGAGCGTCCCCATCACAGAGGTGCAGACTCACAGCAGCACATGGAGGAGTCAGGTGGTCAGGACACGTGAAGGCGGAGAGTACATTTCAGACGTGAAGCGATATTTCTGCTACGATTTCAACCTGAATGTCTTATGTCACACACATCCACTGACAGGAAGCTGTAAACCTTCAGTGATGGGCAGCAATGTTTTTACCCATAGGTTCATGAATGTTTCATGAACTTCTGAGCAGATTGAAATGAATCCTAACATGTCTCAATAATGCACATAGGTCTAAAGAAACTAAGAACACATTTTCCTCCTGCCTCAGGTTGATGATGACGAGGACCTAACAGCTGTTCCTAACTCGGAGACCACCAGCACAGGAGAGGATGTCACCATCAACCTCAAGCCAACCAACGCCTATGAATTTGGCCAGTCCCTGAACGCAGCACGCTGCAGCGGGAACACCGCGGCCTGCGCTGAGCTGCTGGCCTCCACGTCACCAGAGCTGCTCCCTCAGTATCTCAGCACGCAGCTGGACTCCGTCACCATCAGCTTCATCATGCGGGCACTCCACTCACATTTACTGGTGAAAAATCCCAGCTTGGTGTACCAGCACCTCAGCCACCTGCACACTGCAGACAGGTTCCCCGTACGTTCACAAGTACAGCTCCACTTATGACAAAGTTGGTTCAGCGGGTAAAATATAAATAAAAACTGAATGCAGTCGTTTTCAAATCTAATAAACCCGTATTTTATTCACAAGGAAACACAGTAACATAGGTATTTTTAGGTAAAGCAGGAGGACATTTTGATTTTCAACTTTTAATTGATTGGAAGAGTTTCCCACTCTGCTTCGTCCACTTTTAATGAGCTTTGTCTGAGAGTGGATGCTGTTCACATGGACGTCATCTTTGTGTGATAGAGCTTTAAGCAGCGTTAGTGGACGGCTCTGTGAACTGTGTTTACACACCATGATTTGTGGAAGTGTTCTTGAGCCCATATGCTCAAAACAGAACCACACCAGTTTTTACAGCAGAGACATGTCCACTACTGACTAGGGGTTGAACGACTACATATTTTATAAAGTCGACATTAACACGATAATAGTCGAGTCAACTAGTTGATGACATCGTAGGAACTCAAGACGCAAAAAATAATAATAAATTGCAAAAAACGTAATTTATTATTTACAAAAAAAAGAACAACATAACATTGGGAGCATATATTTATGCATCTACCATTTATCATACTGCAAATAAGTAACAGGAAAATCAAACTATTATTAAGCTGCAAAAGTTAGTTTTATTTTGTTTAATCCATTAAATAAAATAAACCACCGCAGCAATGGTGGATTCTCTGGTAGAGCGCATCCATTTTTTATTTATTTTTTTAAATTAGTGGATTAAATAAAATATAACTAAAAACATAATCTTTAGTGAAATTTGAAATTCTTCCACACTGTTGATGAATTTCTACGTGGTTGTGAAGACTTGACCTGCTCCTCTCCTTCCATCTGCTTGGAAGAATCTGTTTTGTAGCCGGCGGCCTGGCGCTGATCACATGACACAATCACTGACTGCCACTAGTTGACATGAAATTTAAAAACTCGTGAGATGTCCTAGAGTCGACAAGTCTATTCAGGCCCTAAACTGGCCTTCATCCTGGTCCTTTGAGCTCAGAGGTTTGGGACCAGTTAACCTCTGCCCATCTTTACTTTTGAGAAATTCAGCCTCTAAAATGTTTTTACACCCACTCTTCTTACTGACTTGTTGACAATTAACCAAATTTCTTGCTAAATGCTCCTCCAGCTGTTTCTTAGATGTGCTAACTATGATCCACTGTGAATAAAATATGGGTTTCTAGGATTTACCAACGCTTCCATTTTGTTTGTATTTACATTTACAACAGTCAACATTTTTCAGGATTGGGGTAGAAAGAAAAATAGCTCTATGTTTTATATTTTTATGTTAAAATTGTGTACATGAAGTTTAAATGCTGTGCTGTTTGCAGATGGTCCTCATGCTGCTGGAGAAGGACGAGCGGCACCTCATGACGCAGCTGTTTGAGCACCTCTCAGCTGTGGAGAGCGCTGAGTTCACCAAGA